CACTAAACATGGATGTAGGTTCCTGCAAGACCTGGGATACAAGGCAAGGGACAAGCCGCCATTAGAAGAGGCGCTACCTCCGGGGCGGGACTCGATGATAACTGATTATTGGCCATTACCTCAAGTTCTCAACCGAGGGAAGAGTGCTAGAGCGGCAAAGATGCACGCTGCATGGTGCGAAAAGAGTGCGCCAAACGAAAACGTGCGGTACACCGACGCTTCAAAGAACGGTGACAAAGTGACATCGGCCTGTTGCGACAGGAGAGGCAGGACACTAACCGAATCACTACCGTCTGGCACGACGGTGAGGGAGACCGAATTGAAGGTGATATTGGCGGCGGCCGAGGACATTGCAGGAAAGAGCTCGACAGCACCTCACGCTAGAATTTTTACAGACTCGCAAGCAGCGATTAACGCAACACGCAGCAGCAAACAAAAGGGCCGAACAATAAAAAAAAAAAACAAGAAAGTGGCGTCGCAGCTTCGCACATGGGGCATTTACCTGATCATCACATGGCTTCCCGGGCACGGGAAAATCCCGGAAATGAGAGGGCACACAGGGCCGCAGCGGAATAAATATTTCACAGCTCCGCGACTGGCCCGACCTCTCGATCTGAAACGAAACGCACGGTAGACCCCGAACAACAGGCTGAGCTTGCCAGGCAGGCGAGGAAGGCCTACCTCAGAGGGTTGCTACCGTCACAAGAAGACAACATACCAACGAGCTATACCAGATGGGAAGCTGTCCGAATCCGACAGAACAGGACCGGAACAGCATTCACACCGGCCAAACAAGCGACCTTAGGGCTCGTCGACCTCGAGGGCTCCAGATGCAATGCCTGCGCCGGAAACAACACAGCCACACTACGCCACCTCCTCTGGGACTGTGCAGACCTGGAACGGCTGAGGAAGAAAGCGATTCAATCTCTTCGGGAAGAGGAAAGACCGCCCACGCTCGAGGAGTGGCCCGACCCCAAGGAACACCGCAGCACAGGAAAGCAATCCTCGATTCCCTGATGGGCTACATCAGGGAGACGGGGACCCATCCCCACATTTAATTATTTTTTTTTACATGATTCTTTCTTTTAACCCCTTAAGCCCCCAGGTCCTCCCCCGTTTCCTGCCTCAGGCCACCCCACTAACACAGCCGAACCACTGATCTTATCAATAAACATAATTCAACAACAATAATTCTCAAGGTGGCGTGCTTGTGGCTTTTGTTAGGCACCATCACCAATTTACCACGACCGTTAACCTTCAAGGTGTGTAGATATCGTGTTATTTGCAGACACGTTTAAGCTTCGCGTAAGAAAGTATATAATGTTAGATAGGGTCCTCGTCTATCTGCTTAGGCTAAAACTTGTAAACGAGTTACATACTTGAATTATGTAACTTTAGGGAAATAACATATAATGCTCCGGTCCCACTTGAGTGGCATACGGAAGCAACCGACACGGACAAACCTCAAACTCGTACAGCATGCATAAAATGGTATCTCTGTAAGGCTTGCGAACCCTCGTGCTTACTTCACGAGCACCAAGAGCCAAAGGCAGCTTGGCGTGCTTTTTGCATTGTCTTGAGGATTATCGATGTTTGTTGCTTCTGTTCGTCGCTCAAGCAAAATTCGAGCTTAAGTTAATATATATATATATAATGTTTTAATGTTCTTGCCCACTCTGCTTACAAAATGCAGAGTAGAAACTTGTCATTCGTATAGGCGGGACTTTGTATTGCTCAGTCGGGAACCAACTGGGGTTGAGGGGGCAAGTTACAAAACTGGAGGCTTTTATGGCGTTACAATTGCAATCTATTCTCATACATAATCTCTTGTCAGTCTCGTACGTTTCCAGTGTCCTTCAGTACGCCATGCTAAAAATGTCAAAGAACAAGTTACAAGTAAACTTACAGCTCTCGCTTTCAACCTCTTTTTAAGTATAATACGTTGTCCGTGGGTGTAAATACGCAAGTGAAATATTACAGCCTAAACAATTTAGCTGATGCTGTCGCAGTCACTTAGTGAAGAAATAAACCTTGGGGCAATCCATAAACCTTAGCGCTCCATGGAGCCCGTTTTTTCTTTTTCTTCGTGCCCACGTACATGCGCCCGTAAGTACCCGTATATTCATTTCTGTTGCAGTTGGCAGCGTCACAGCACATTGCACGTAGTACACGTTAGATACGTGCCAGAAAAAAAAAAGTCGCATGAGTGACAACAAAAGCCACAGGTGGGCTGAAGTCAGTCAGGGTTTACAAGTAAAGCAAACAACAGCCAGCGCAGCTGTGCTCTTGTGGCTGCGCTATGGATCGCGTGTCGTCTTTTTGATTGGCATATATCCAGCGTTCTCGCCACTATATGGTTTTTCCAACTCGAGCTTTGTGAGTTCAATCTTCCCCTCCCATTGTTGTCCAAACGTCGCGCCCAGAGACAGGTCACAGTAATGTGGAAGGGACATCAACAAACTTAAATACAATTCCGTCTCTATTAGAGGAAAACGCCCTTGTGTTGGGCACTGGAGTCTCTTTTACGCCCTCAAAATCCACAACCTAGGATGGCAGCCTGCATTCTAGAACGAGTTATCCACTCGCCATTTCCTGACTTCGACGTCGGAGACTGTCATGCTTCCCAAATGATCCAGGAATGCTTGATGAAATGGTCAACCAAGATAATTGCTGTAAGTATGTAACCGACGCCTTTCTTGTGAACGTAAAAATAGAACGACATTGTAAGTGCCTCGAATTGAGAATAATTCGAGAATTTGTTAAAACACTGTAAACACCGGGACCTTTAGGTTAGTTAAAAGAAAAACTTGTAAAAGTGTGTCTCGTTTCCAAATACATTGAATGGTCACTGTGAACTGGGTGTGGCTCTAATTGTGAATAACAAACATGACCGTTGGCAAGGATCAATTAGAACAAAATGTAAAGTGCGCTTCACTTTAAGGCAAAGGGCGGAAATCATCAAGTACCAATTAATCTAGGCTTTGTTGAATGTGTCCGGAGTTAATTCGACGCCGTCTTTGTGTACACCTTGATGGCAGCTTTTATTCGTTACCTTTCCAACTCCGTTCTATCACCACACGGCTATACTTCGTTTCCTCTTATGTCAAGGCGCAGCCGACGCTACGAGGTAATCGAACCAATCAGCAGCATCAAAAGCGCAGCTCACAAGGCGTTTTGTGTTTATGATTGGATCAGCGATGAGCGACACATGCTGAAGCTTGAAAAAGACCATGAATGCGATATTTTGACGCGGTCTGATTTGTCAAATCAATGCGTAGCTTCGGGAGTGTTTAGATTGAAGCTGAAACGAAGAATAGTTTTCATCAATGGAAACCCCGCTCCCACTACCTTTTATTTTACTATGTCTCTTTCCAAAAATGTATTATTATATTGCTTCAAATAACGACTCACGTTTCTCGGTCCATATTTTAGATCGGGGAGCGTCGATCCTCACTTTAAAATAGGCCTACCTCGCTGCAAAACCTCGGCGTACATTGACTCCTTCATTCCTAAAACGCACGTTGATTGGAACCGCCTTTCAGCATCCTTAGTAAATATAATTTAATTCAAGTTGTCTCAAATAATTTCTCCTTTTAAGATCAATTTGGCTCAACTGTTGTTTTATTTTGTGTTTTTGCTTCCCAGTACTAGTGAATTGTTGGTCTTTGGTCTTTTTTATGCGTATTCCTATTTATTTTGTTTATACCCACACCCCTTTGTAATGTCCTCCGGGCCCTGAGGGTGTTAAAATAAGAAAATTAAAACAGTATTGAATGCAATAAGACTGCGCTAATAATCATGCTACAGTCATATACGCCTTGCATCTGATGGCAGTTGGGTACCGTGCCTTCAAATTACACTTACGGTTCGTGCCGTTTTCTTGACGGAAAAAAGTCGTATGGAAACATGGAGGGAGGGAGCAGAGGAGGCGACATACCGGCTGAAGTCCGCCAAACTAGAAAATCCCCAGTAAAACATTTTGTCGTTTTGCCTTGCTGCATACCCGACCCGGAGAAATAACACGGAGCCAGCGGTTTAAAGAACAAGAAACTACATTTAATTGAACATCAATGAGACGATGAAGAAGACTAACAGAAAACCAACGAGCACCGCCGGGGCTTGAGTCCAGCCAGCGGCTGCCTGTGCGCCGCCTTTGACCCACCTTATCAAGGCAGCACACGCAATGTCCGCGTGGCCGGCTTAATTTCGCTGCCCCGCGGGAAAGTTCGCCACCTGTGCCCTGCAGTCTGGCAACTGGGCTGGGGAGCCGCCAGGGTGCCAACAAGCAGAAAGCAGAGGCCGCGGTCGGTGGAAACCAACAGGTAGAGGGGCTTAGAGCGATAAACTGGTATCCCTTTCACCAGGCAAAAGTGACCCCTACTTGGCAGCCGCCATGTTGTAGAATTTTGACAACTAGACACGTGACAGTGTGCAGTTGTGAAACTGAGTCGATATTTGTGTTGCGATCGCTGTAAAAAAAACATGATAAACTATTTTTTCAATACTGTTTAGCCCCAGAGATCAGAGTCTAGCTCCGATAAAAAACCAAAGTACAGCACCGCTGCTGACGGCATCTAGTGGAGGCATTGCGAAGCTGCCAGAGTTTTTGTCGTAAAACGACCTTTTGAACTTAAAACAAACGATGCATCAGTTTTCTCGTCGGTGCTTTTGTTAATGATCAACAAGGAACTATTTGTGCACGGAACGTAGTTAAAATCTAGGCGTTAAACAATAAGGTCATGTGTCTAGTGGTCAAAATTGGGCAACACGTCGTCGGCGTAATGGAGGTCACTTTCATCTCCCACTTTATCGCTCCAAGGCCCCCTATCTCGTTGGTGGGAACGAACCCAAGGGTGTCCGTTCCGTCCAAAGCATTCTTTGTTCGTTCTTTGTCATCGTTGGGAAAGTGTCCCTCCATACCAAAAGCTGTTGTGTAAAACAGAGAAACATTGTATGTCACTGAAAATAAAGCGCCACATAAACTAGGAATTCAATTACAGGTCAAGCGAGTCAGGCAAACAGCATCAATCTTGAAGGCAGAATCGACGCGAAGGGAATACTAATTGTACGTCTTTTTTTGGAATGTACAAAAACGACCTGGATGCTCTAAGTCGACCGGCCTGGACATGAATGCTTTAAGGCAAAACTTATGCCGCAGCCTTTGCATTTCACAAAGGCCCAATATAAGCCGTAATCTTCTTTCCAGGTTGATTCTCAGCAGACCATTACCGCCAATGATCTCTTGAAGAAGATACGAAAGTACGCTGTTGGATTTCAACACCATGGCTTGAAGCCTGGCTCGAGGGTATGCACCCATGTCCGTAACACCATCGAAAATATAGCCGCAGGACTGGCGGTTGTATTCGTAGGAGGGACACTTGTTATGGCGAAGACATCCTACGTTGCAAGTGAGTGTCAATTAGTCACTTGAACTATATGAATGGCGGTCGTATTTGTAAGCAAATTGCCAATGCGAGCCAGATTTTTATATGTCTAGCGTTTTCTTTTCTTTTCAGGAGAAGTAATATACACAATTCAAGACAGTGAATGTGATTACATTCTTACAGACAAGGATACAGCTCCTAGTATACTCAAAATTACCATGCCGTTAACCATTAAGGTAAGTGCGGTCGACATTTGACATGTATATTGTTGGAATGATGAAGATCGGCACGGGAAAGCTTTTCGCAATAAAGCGATGATGTGAACTGCATGAAATTCTAGATGCGAAATAATTTTTTTCATTTGTTTGAGGACCCCTTCAGTCGAGCTTCAACCTTCGCACTACAAATTTCAGTAGCAACCGGGTTACAATGAAAGGGAAGCTGGAGAGCGTTTCGCAAAAGAGAGTTAATGGTTGATTCTGACGTGTTCGTGCCTACTGAGTCCCAATATCGCAACCGTTGGACCCAAAGTAATCACCAAAAGCGAAAAAAGCGAAGAAAACAGAAGCGATCGCTGCAGCTGCACGCCATTGGCTAGCGACGCGTGACGCGCCACTACGTCATAAGAGGACCATCTCGATTCTCGCTTGCTCATTCGCTTGCGGAAGTAGCCGGGCACCGAGGCTTCTGCTCTTGTAAATCGGCTTAGGCTTCGGATTTTTTGAAATCTTTCGCTGGGTCCGAAAGAGAATGTGTCCAGACGACCCTTGATGTGACAAAGCACGCGTTCCAGCTGTTAGCAAAACAGAAAAATCAAAAATGACCCCTCGGTGTATTGAGCGCAGACACGAGGAACCGCTTGCGCGGACGCGACATTCCCGGCTTCATACGTTCAGGAACGTACTGACTGCTACTTATTGTAACGTAAAATGGTGACAATAAGCGGAGTGCTATTGACGGGGCGCGTCAAGCCGGATTAGCGTGACCCTCTCCAGAACAGTCGTCACAGGACAAGAATTCGGCACACATCGGCCTTTGTGCTTGCTGGCTGCTGGACAAGTGAGCGTGCAGGCTGCATTGTTCACCAAGGCTGAAGTGGTTTGAAGGGATAGTATAATCGGCCTCGGGCTATGCGAGAGCTTCCCCTCAGATGAGACGGGTGATGAGACAGGGTAGCAGTTTTGCTACCGCCATGTCCTTGCGTACTATGCGAGTAACTGTGCAGAAGGCCCACCCTTGTGATAGCGGTACCCCATGCTAGGCTTAGTTTGTTTGCCAAAAACTATTACGCCTTTACAGCTTTAAAAAAAAAGCGGATGTGTGTGCCCGACAGCCCTTAATTTGATGTCGAATTCGTCAAAGCTTCTTGGGCCTCTACATTCACATCTACCCAGATTTGTTGACTGCATCAGACCCCCACCAAGAAATATCATCGTCCGATCGCATTTCTACGGCATAAAGAACAATCGGATGACACAAACGTTATACGGAAAACACTGCGTAACTTGTAAAAGATGAACTCAATTCACAACAGAATGTCGCCTGCTTTGTATCTCCAGAAAGCCCTCCTGAGGAGAATATGAACATATGGAAGGAAAATTTAACAAAATTTATGTTTACATTTAAAATATGTTACCTCGAATAATATCAGCAACTGTAAAGAACAAAACAAAAAGACAATTATGTTGCACTGTGAAAGTCGCATGATGAAGTGCATGACCACTTATTAGAACAAGCCCTGCCTCCCAAGTGACTGGGTAACGGAGTAGATTAAAAACAAAAGAAAACAATCTTGGGCTACGCAAGATCGTTTTTGTTTGTTTCCCGGATTTTCCGGCCCGGAGTCGGTCACTTCAACGATACAAGAAACCAACACTAAAACACTAATGTAAGGCGGTTAACACAAAAGAGCCAATAGAGGTCCGCTAAACGCCTACGTGATTGCGGCTTTTCCAGGTCACTGCACAATTCTAATAACGTAATAGCTTTTTTTGTAAAACAGTTAACCTAAAATTGCCACCTAGTTTCGTTTCCTCTTTGCGTGTGCCTTTTAATGCGCTGCATTTCCTTTTTACCTCCAAAGATGGTCGGCAGAGTGTCGGGTTCAGACGAGCCTTCTTCAGACCCTAAATCATAAGTACATTGTTTTCACATGAGCCGTCCGAAACACGCTTCGAACAAAAAACGGTGTACTTGCTCAAACTCGTCTGTTTGCATAGCGGGAACCCACCCCTTTAAAACCTCGGTGTTGGAGTGGAAGAGGCGTTAAGCGGGAAGAACAACTGCGACGAGCGCTGTTCGTGAAAGCTTACCGCTACGCATGAGCACGGCATCGTGCAACAGCACGAGTAAGTTGGTTCGGTGCCACGAGAATTTTGAAAAGACGTGAACAAAAAAGAGAACAATCAACACGTCAGGCGATCGAGTTAATAGCACGACCGTTAAACGGATAAAAGCAAGCACTATGGAGCGCCAGAACGACGACGGCCCATAGAGTCAGTAGAGCAGCCCACGAGGGAAGCGCAGCCATTCGCGGCGGGGTCGGACCTTTTGTGACGTCGGCTGACGGGCTTCCTCCACTCTCCCTTTTCTCACTGCTTCGGGGAGGCCTGCTTCAACGTTACTTTGAAGGCGCTTTTCCGGTTAATCTCCGCAGAAAATAACCAAACGAATACGATATTCGTGATGGCTGACGACTAATTTTTTCCTCATATTTAAAACCGCTTCACCTTCCCTTTAATCTAACAAGGCTTTAATCTAACAAGATGTGTTTGTCTCTCTGTATCGCGCCTGAGATCAGTTGTGTCCGGTGATATCGAGCTAGATTCCGGTCACCCTAAGGATGTGAAAATAACAAATGGCAGATACGAATTTATTGCATCGGGGGCCGAGTTCCCATTCAGTTACACTCGAGAAAGGGCAATCCCTGCTTCTTGACACTATGGGTGTCATCAAAAACAATCATCAGTCAATTGAGAATAAGGCAAACGATTTCTGCAGCAGACTCAGTACCGTAGAACAAAATATATCCAACGTCGGCACCGTTCACCAGGAATTAAAAGCCATAAGGCGAATCGTCGACTCTCTTGTTAAAGAAAACGCCACTTTCGCGCTAGCGTGTCACTATCAGAAGACCGCTCTCGTAGAGATATCTTTTTCTTTTATGGAATCCACGATTCGTGGATTAAAACGTGGTTGATGTTTGAAGTAAAATTATGCGAAATGATTGAAAACAAAGCTTCACCTTGACATTTCCTCTGAAAGTGCTTTTCGTGCACATAAGTTTGGTCGTGTTTTTAGCGCCATCAAGTGTTCGTTTCTAAACAACGATTTCGCGGTACTAATATATTTTTTATTTTATTTTCGTAGACTTATCGAAACACGCAATGTCAGACAAATACTGACTGAGTTTGGTAAGACGAGTAACGAACCTTTTAAACTACACTATATAATGTTATATCTAAACAATTAGTGATATTTCTATTGTCCCAACGGTAACTGCTCTCGTGAACTACGACCCGACCACACTCCTAATAACACAATTCGCGACGATAAATTTACTAATAATTCCAAGGCATCATCATAATTATTAAAACAAAATAGTCACCATGATGGCCTCGCTAATTTTCTTAGTGAAATCCCAGTTTTACTTACTAATATCCGAAATGTCATTTGAACCCGTGACGATTTGGCGTCGCTAATAAATTCGTCATCTAGAGATATTGTAGTTTTGATCGAAACTTGGCTTTCTATTACAGTCCGCAACAGTGAGATCTGGAAGTGTGACGTGCACTTTTACTTTTATCGTTGTGACAGAACATCAAGAAGAAGGGGCGGGGATCTGCAAGCACTGAACGAATATCTTAAATCTTTTCATGTAAATGTTTCTGCCTCACTCGAATTTCTTTGTGTGCGACTACACTATGCACATAAAAGTGTCATCCTGTGCGTATGTTATCGACCGCCGACCGCCCTGCAAGTGTTTCGGAAGATTTACTTGATGTTTTGAATGCCATTTCTTCTTGATCCCCACCGACACCACTGTTTCTCTTGGGCAATTTCAACCTTCCGCACATTGATTGGTCCGGAGCTTTTCCCTTGCCGCTGGCAACCTTTCGCCCTATTTAGACGTTCTTAACTTTTGTTCTGATTTTAGCTTATATCAGTTTGTGACTGAGCCTACGTGAATAACCAATTCAACTTCCAATGCATTATACCTTATTCTTACTACTACTTTGTATTTTATAGCTGCTATTACAAATTTAAAAGGCACCAGTGAACACTCGACGCTACATTTCAACCTACTTGCAACTGTGCGCACTTCCCATAAAAGTATGAAGCAGTACTTTGAGTATAATAAGACTACATTTGATATAATCAACAACCAGTTAGCTCTATGTCTTCATGAATTTTACACCGCTTTCATCGGAGCTCCGTTGACGACAACTGAAATATGTTAAATGTGAAGTGAACTCACTCATTTGCTTCTTCAATCCGCTTAGATCTGTCACTTCAAACACCGCGTCCCCCTGGTTTAATGTCACCCTTAAAAGATGATCCAATAAAAATAAACGTCTATTTCAACAGCCAAGCAAATCTAACCGTGACAAACATTGGGTATCTTATCGCTGTTCAGCAAACACCTATTCGATACTTATCGCTAAAGCCAAAACAGCTTTCTTCGGTCATAAATTACCTTGACCGTAAAGCGAGTGCCTCGTTTATGAAAACTAACTTGTCCCTGCCTCTTGTGTCTTTGTGTCGCAACGTTTCTCGTCTGTATCTTTTTTCACAAAATTACTACACTAACACAACTCAAAAAAAAGTTACTTCTTCCTCCCCGCATATCTCTGCTCGCCATGACCAACAATCCAAAGTAGGATTTCATCGGCGTCGTACCAACGCCTACATTGACTCCTTCAAACCCAGAACGTCTTCCGTGTGGAAGCACCTTTCCGCACTTAAAATGTATATAGGGTCACCTGATTTGTTGAAAACTGCGATAACCAAACAGCTTGTATATAATACGTTGAGCACTCATGTTATATATTGTTTGCATCTGATTTTGTTTTCACTGAAGTTTGTACTGTATCTTGCACTTCGCCTCTATAATGTCCTAGTTGGCCACAGGCAGGGTTGGGCAGAAATACAAAAAATGTATTTGGAAACACAAGTTTGGGGTACATTAAAATAGTAGATAAAATACTGATACTAAAATATATCTGTAAAAATGTATCGCGATACGTATCGGAGATACTATTTAAATAGAGGCAGAAAGTCTTTGGAAATACAAATACACTAATACATTTGAGAGAGAGTAGAAATACAGGTACAGAAATTTTGATACTGCAAAACATTTTTCAAACTTGTTTGAGGCGCTAACTGAAATGAAGCTTGAAGTTTGAATTGGAAGTTTTTCATCCGGAAATTACTGTGTGTAGGCTTGGCACTTTGCAGTGAAGGCAGTGGTTTCGGACGACAAGGAGTCTTCAATAGGCTAAAAAAAAAGCTCCATCAAAGATAGACCGCGGTCCCTTCCCTGATATCCTGTCTTTCTGACGAGTTATGCGAAACGATTTCAGCCTCTAAACACATTCTATGTCACTCTAAATAACATCAAAACGTCACCACGCCCCTCTCCAATAAGGACGCGCTTGTCAACACTGATCACATGACGTCACAGTGGAATGAACTGCTATTCTTTATCTGCGGGTGCGACCTTGAACATGAAACTTTACCTACACTGTTGTATGAAAGGAGAATACATACAGGGTGTCACAAAAAATACAGGTATTTGTTTACCGCAAAAATAAACTAGACATCGCTGAACGCTCATTCTCCGCCCAAAGGTAGCGCTAGAGGTCACAACCAGATGCCAAAATTTCAGTGCGATCCGATACCTCATTCAAAAGTTATAACTTATAAGTGGTTTGTGGCGCCATAGAGCCCCATGTATTCGAGAACTCCGTCGGCCGCCATTTTCCCAGTGAACGTTTCAGAAAATCACTTATGACTTTTGAATAAGGTATCGGATCGGGCTAAAACTTTGGCATCTGGTTGTGACATCTAGCACTATTTTTGGACGGAGAAGGAGCGTTCAGCGATGCCAAGTTTATTTTTGCGGTAAAAAAAAACTGTTAATTTTCGTTTGTGACACCCTGTGCTTTCATTGTAGGTGACCTCGTTGAAGATCGTGCTGGCAGTGTCAATTGGAATTTTCGCGAAGAGTGAACCACTTGAAGCATCCTGGAACACATGTTTTACCTTAAGTTGCGGTTCAAAAAACGATACGGTGGCATCCCTGTTTTGAGGGTCTTTCCTGCTGACCCTCTTCCACCAACGCATGGATTGCAGTCCTCAAGTTTCGCCTAGCGTCATCCAAACAGAGACCTCGATGATTACGACCTGATATTGCCGTCACAGGTACGAGCTCTCCAAGAAACAGTGCGCTCTGGACGAGTCACAAGTGTACGAAGTCTGGTTCGGCAGAGCGAAGCCATGTCTACGTCCTTCCTTGGTTTCGGATCACCAGAGCAGCGAGTCACGTTCACGTCGACTGATGACGTACCCTTGAGTCGTGCAATATTTCGGGCGCAGCCGCAGATGCATTCGGATATGGGTTGAACTTCAGTGCGTGAGTCATCCTACTATTTGAAGTCAACCACCGCCAGGCTCGTGTTGCAACGGAATGTGACTCAGCTTTGCCGGCTGGGTGTACTGTGTACGCTAAGGCAAGAGAGACGGTTAGCAGGGGACATTGGATGCCAGCATAGAATGGCTCCCGAAATCCCTACCCAAGGACCTGAGGCAGAAGATGCTCCGACTCCACTCCTGGCACGCCACCTGGTTCGAGTCCCCGACTACGCAACACTTCTCAGAAGAGAGAAGAGGGCGCATAAAAAAAATAGTGTGGAGAATCGGAAGGAACGTTGGTCAGCCCAGTAACAATGCCCCAGCATCTCCTTACCTCTGGTGCCATCAGAAATAAAAAAAAAAAAAAAAAAACGTTCGGGCCTGTATTTTTCTTTTTGGGGGAAGTGGCGGGGGGGGGGGGGGGGGGGGGGGGGGGGCGGGTAGCACTTCTCAAGAGATGTAACGAAATACATTTCATCCTGATTGTATCGCGATACAAAGAAACATTCGAAATGTATTCGGATACAGGAATACAGATACAGGTGAAAAAATGTATCGCGATACAGAAATACAGATACAAAATGTATTTGTGAAATACTATCGCGATACATTTGTATCGCGATACCGCCCAATTTTCCCTGAGGGTACTGAAATAAATAAATACAGAAATAAATGAACAAATGAATAAATAAATGAATAAATAAATAAAGACATAAATGAATGAATGAATAAATAAATAAATAAATAAATAAATAAATAAATAAATAAATAAATAAAATATATGCTCATATCAGCAGGCCAGCCACAGTTTCTCCGAGCTCGGGTTCGGTCCGGTACCTTGAAGTTGTAAGCGGAAACGAAGGCAACACACTCCATTGTTTCTGTATTCATTTGAGTTAGAATACGTTTTTACAGATAATTTAGGCTCTCGACTGTGCAAACGTCCCTGGAAGACGACATTCGCTTGGGCCAGACGTAAATCTAATAAGAATGAGAATCATATTTTTTAATATCCCTATGCTTTTCGCTCGCTGGCGGATCAAGGAAACGTACTGGTAATAAAATAATCGCGGCAATTTTCGCCAGGGCATGGAGGCTGACACTATTCAAAATCTCCTAGGTACTGAATAAGATAACGTGGAGTGAATTATAGAAATAATGTATCAAGATTTCTTCAATTTATATTTATTTCTATAAAATATGAGAACATGCGTGAAGTTATGTTATTTTTGCTCGTTTGTTTCTTACATTTCATCTATAATGTATGTAATATGGTACAGAGTCTTTACCTTAATAATTCACAAGTATGCACAACGCGGTAGTGTAGGCATGTCGAGAATGCGCTTAGTATGATTACTCTAGCTGAAGAGAAACTGAGCGATTCTTCACAATTTCAAACAAGAGAAACTAAATAAAAAAATATAGTCATTGCATTCGAGCTTGCTTTGATTACTCCATTGTGCAATTCGCGTCGTCGCGTCATTTAAACTGAATATACGAATAACCAGTCCACCAGTAGCTATGAACTTTATTTTTCTGAACTCCGGTTGATCAAAAGAAAGTTGTTTATATCGATACAGATAAAGGCGACAATACAATGAATAATGAACCGAAAATGAAGCTTTAATCGGCGAATTAGTGCCAGAGAAAAATAAATAAAGAACACATGTCAAGGAAGCAGCCGCGAGCTCTGACAGCAGCATCGAGCGTTGACGGGAGCAGCGGCGAAAGACAGTGCGTCGGCGTCACAGCTGGCTATTGTGAGAGTGAATCAGTGAATCAATCGCCAATTACCACGCTCGGCTCTTTATGTCCTAAACCAGTCATCTCAAAGATTCAACCTAGAAGTTTCGGGAGTTAGCTAGGGGGAAGCTGACTACGCAAGGTCAATATGGCCTCCTTATCTCTTTCGTTTGCGGTAAGAATAAAAACGAAACTTATAGATGCACGGAGAAGCGTTCATTCTCCTTTATGTACGCGGCAATATATTCGTTATTATTTTCGTGCAACTCAAACTTCTTGAGCTTGAAAAGCTCGTTCGTTGAGTTTTTCGTCAGCCTCAAGGTTTAATTTTATATTGTGTGTGATGTACAATCAAGAACTTATGTGAAGCAGTACAAAACGTTTCAGGATTCATCTATAGACAAATACACAATCTTAGGAAGCGGCGGGTAGAAAATTTTACTACATACACTTCGCCAAAAAAAAAGGAAATTATTAAATAATTTTACATAGATTGTCTCGTCTGAAGGGATATGTACAACATTGATTCCTAATCGCAGAGGCTGCACTCAAGAATCCAAGCGGCAACCGAGTGGTCTCTTTTGGTCTTTGCAGACGCTGTTTTCTGTTGGAAGCGCACCCGGTTTCATTGATGTGCTCGAGTTCCAAGACTACTCGGAGGCTAGTCTGAAGCCACAAGTGCCTGCTGACACAGCGGAGGAGGTCGTCGTGATGCTGTACACGTCCGGAACCACGGGCCTCCCAAAAGCCGTGGAAATCTCCCACAAAGCTTACGTCTCCTGCTACCGTGCTTGAATGTATGTGGCTGGCTAAAAACTGTTTTTATAGCGAGAGCTGATACGAGTTTGTTCGCCGCGGCGGTAGCGTATACGAATTCCGTTTCCCCGCTATATTTAGCGGAAATATTTACATCACGTGACGTATGCACCAATTCAGTTTTCCCGCTAAATTTGACGGAAAAAATGTACGACATGTGACCTATGCACCAATTCAGTTTTCCTACTAAGTTTAACGGGAAAATTTATGTTATGTATCTTGACGTCACGGGGCCTACAGACAAATGAACATTTCCCGATAAATTTAGCGCAACAAATAACGGAGAGGCTAAACGCCCCTAGACCTAGCTGTGACCGAGAGCGCCCGGACGCGCCGCGATCACAAGCAACCAGGACATACACCCGCGCTTTGCATGCGGCGCGGCAAGCTGCTTCTTAAACTGGATGCCACGCCTCAAACGAAGCAGGGATGACCTGGCGCCTGATGGCCGTTTCGCAATGCGACGCTACCGTACGCTGCCAAACGCTCCCAACCGCAACCGTGCGATGGGCCTATTTAAGGCTGTTCGCAGTCACCCATAACCATCGGGGCGAAGCTCCGCTGGTCAGTCGCCCCCGTAGGAAAAGCAGCAGAGCTTCAGGCGGCCACGACGAGTTTCGGAAATTTAGGAGGCGTTCCCCCGTCCCTTGCCGTCGCGGGCGTGGCGCGGCATCAGCGAAGATGAAAAGAGCACGCACGAGAAAAGCTGTTGTGGACACAAGGCCGCTACTCTCCCCTTCAGCTTTCCTATGTTTGCACCCCTTGCACTGTTTTTCTTCACCAAGTTCTTGCTCGCGAGGGAAATATAGTGTGTGGGGAAAATGGGAGGGGAGTCATTTTGGTATTTGTTTGTAGATAACCTGATTTTCGTCAGTCGAAATACAGCATTTGTCAGAAGCTTTTCGCTCTGTTTTTTTTTTTCGTCAACGAGAGCAAACTAAATGCATAGCAACGAACTGAAAAACGGCTTCCCGTCCCATGCGTGGGTACATATCTTATAGAGCAGCTTGGTGTGTGGATCATGAAGGTCTCTCAGTGGCGTGTTTCTTGCGCCTCTTCATCCGTCGGGTTTCCGAAGCGAGCGAAAAAGACGCCGGGGACGAAACCGTGATTGTGCTCAGGATTTTGAGACGGCGGCGGATGTTGTTGCGTGTTCGTGGTTTTCGCTAAACTTGCTATTTACAGTGTGAATGGTCCGTGCGATCCACCTGGTCGGTTTTATTAGTTGAACTACCCCACGTCTCAGAAATTTACCCAGCGGAATTTGAGTACCTTAAAGATATTTTTTGCAATAAATAATTCGGTAGTCTTAATGCGGTTTGAGCGTTTTCGTCTACAGCTGGTTGCCTCCGGGTTTCAGCGATTGCGTTGCTCCTTATCGTCTTTTTAAGCTACAACTTGCATGTAAAGCTCAATGTCTGAAAATCACTTCCAATGGAGTAAGTCTATACCCACGATGTCGCGCACCTTGACTAGAAATAGCTATACGCACGACGCCAAAATTGTTGGGTCTCGTATAAAACAAATTTAAAAACAGTGTGCTACAGCTCTAACGTGGTCTTTTGGTAAGATAATCGATTTACACTATGCGGACCCAGGATCGAATCCGGTAGGCGGCGGGTATACTTTTTTTGTCAAACATTCGGTTGTATTAACGAACGTTTTTTTTTTTATGATTGCCACAGTAACGAACAAACGTCGAAGTCTTGTCGCTGTACGACTTGGTATGGGACTCCCTTTGTGGAGGTGCAATGGGAGACAGCGAATATTCGGCCGCCGGCGAGGCGCCGGGAAACGGCGCATATGGGTGGCCAGCTGAATTAATATTTTTTTATGAGCCATCCACAGACTGTCCATCCCAGGCAATAGAAACGGAAAGAGGGGAGGGGGGAGGGAGGGGGCGGGGCCAGGGGGGCTTCACACGCGCCCATGTAATACACGCGCCTCCGAAAAGGGTGACCAATAGGCAAAATGGCATCAGCTCTCCGCGTCGTGCGTATAGCCAATTCCGGTTGAGGTGCACGACGTTCTGCTATAGTATCATTCTTTGCAATGATGTTTCAAACTATATTTTATGTCAATTCCTCACAGTCATTTGGGCGGCTAAAGATTTTAAGGGATGAGTGGATCTGAAAGAATGAAGGTTCTGACGGGCGCAAGGGGTTTGAAAGTCTGACGGGCAGAAGTGGTTTATAGGGCTAGGGGGTTCAAAAGGATGAAGGGATTTGAAGCGTTGAGAGGGTCCCGTAACGCATCAGGGCTGAAGTACTATTATCAATAGGGTTGAACAGTTAAATTGGACATTCACTTGAATCGGTCATTAAACTGCAGGGTAAAAAAGGGTGCACGCAGTTTTAGCAGTTGAGTCTACCTAGCTCACCACTAACACATAACTTCACTCATATACCAATAAACAATCGGACCATTAGTAGAATGAATGTTATTAGAGAAAAATGAGCTGCACACTGATATTTTTCAAATGTAGTTTTCAGTAGTTCAATACACGAGTGGAATACACACCGAAGTCGGCCATTGGGGCACCTAGACTTAAAGTGCCTCCGTCTGTTGATAACCTGAAATGACAAATCCGATGGTTCTGTCCCAAGAGAGGACAGTTGAATGGGCATCAGATGAAGCGATATGACAGACCGAGAGACGTCGGTCCTACTTTTAGCGGAAGGAAGATCCCTATTCAGGCATGCAAAATAACGAGGCTGCGGTGTGTGAAGCGTGTACTTATTTTTTATCAAAAATTGTCTACGCTGACCGAGTTATCCTGGCGGAAGACAGATGCGTGATGCTGGCCGATCAGTGTCACACCTCAAATTAGCCAGACATATAATTTTTCGTGTGTTTTGCTATTAGCTAACTTGCATTTTTTTTTAAGTAGCCCTTTTCTTAAAAAACGACCCTGCCCTTCACTTGTATTAGTCAATGTAATATATATTTTTATTATATGAGCAGAGATTATTTAACCTGCGTACCTCTTACAAAGTTTTTTTGACTTGCTTTATGCCATGTTACAGGGCTTCAGGGGTCTTAGCTGCAGATGACGTCATGCTTGCTTGGAATCCTTTCACTCATGTCTCCGGGTTTGTGATCGACACCATATGGGTGTGCCTGGGAGTAAGGCTGATTGTTACGGAGCATTCCATATCGTGCAAAGATTTCTTGGAGAACCTCTCTACACATCAAGTAAGACAACCTAGGCCAAGCACATTTGACACTGCTGGGAAGGGGGAGAAACGGAAACTGGAAAATCCATGGCACTCACACCGGTATTGTCTCGGAAGTTGAAAGCAAAGGACTAAGCAAAAAATTTAAGACGTTTACAATTTTCTCTAACGCCGAATTAGAGCGCAGCTCTTGCATAGGAGAAGGGGATGTACGGAGGGGAGGGTATGCCCCCCTCTTCCTTCCCAGCTAAATTTAGCAGGGAATTTGTTTTTTTTTAATTAGCCGGAACATTTCACCCTCGTGACGTCACACGTGGCGTCACTCGAGTAAACTTAGCGGAAACTTTCTTCCGCCAAATTTAGCGGAAAATATTTTCCGCTATGCTTAGCGGGAATATTGGCAATTTTAGATGCGCGTGACGTCACGCGACGTTACACGCATCTAAGATTGTCAATATTCATACTAAATTTCCGCCAATAAGAAACATGTGACGTCATACGTCACGCACGTTCTGTAATGACGTTACACGTGACATCATGTCTTACGTCACGAAGGTTACCCTCGTCACTTCGTGAGAGTAACCCTTGTGCCCCTTTTGAGGTTAACTCTCGTAACCCAAGCGAGGGTAATCCTCATGATGCTCGTGAGGGTAACCCTCGTGACTCCCGTGACGGTAACCCTCGTGACCCTCGTGATGGTACCCTTGTTGATCCTCGTGAGGGTAACCCTCATAACCCTCGTGAGGGTAACCCTCCCCTAACGCCTCCCCCCACACCAAAAGAAAAAAAAAATAGGACATATATATTTTGCCCGCGAAACTAGATTGCTGCGGGTTTTCCAGTAAATCACTTCAAGCCCCACCAATGGTCGCAACAATACCGCATAAAGATATCTCTTTCATTAGTAAAACCAAAAATATTGGAGCCTTTCAGCTCTTGAGGAGGAGTAGGGAAATGTACTGAGGGGGGTCACGTCACCTGCGGGTAGTCACGTGACCCCGGGGGGGGGGGGGGGTCACGTGATCTCGGGGGAGGGGGGGGGTCACGTGACCTCGGGGGGGTCACATGACCTTGGGGGTTACGTGACCCCCCCCCCCCCCCCCGGTTACGCCGACGCCGACACCGCTCAGGCTGGAAACGGGCCCCTAAGAGCTGCGCTCTAAAATATTGGAGCCTTTCATAAAAATATCTATATTACATAAAAGTCTCTATATTCTTACGTTTCTTTCAAATTTTATTGAACACATTCTGCTGGGCAAAACGTTTGGTCGTGGTTTATGTCAGAGAGACGTGTCTATGCTAGGTCATTCTAAAATAGCATACAGCATTCACAAAAAAGAAAAGTAACACAAATTTCAATAGGCTGCAGCCCGACAGTATAAATATATAGTGAAATACACATCTTATTCCTCAGATATCCGTGATTTTTGCCACTTCTGAGCTGCTACGGGGGATTGTCAACGAAGCGAGAACGAACAACCATCCAGCAGTGGGTCTGAAGAAGATCATGGTCGGAGGGACGGCGCTCGCCGAATCTCTAGGAACAGAGATATGCGAGTTCTTTGGCGTTAACTCGTTCGTAAACTTCTACGGCTTGACTGAAACATTTGCTCTTGTAAGCTGCACTCCTGCCGGAAAAATCCGCTTGGACAACGTCGGCGTTCCTTGTGCTGGCTCCAAAGTCAAAGTATGTCTGATCAAAGGAACTTTCTCGCACTTCTATACCCTAAGCCTTTTTGACCACGTATTTTGTTTTTCTTTTTTAAAGAACAGTTAGTTGAACAGCTTTTACTAATAAATCTTCATAGTTTCTGGAATCAAATATGAACACCCGTATATCCATGCACCAACATAAAGTCAGAAGACAAGCAATAACAAAAACACAGCATGTGTCTGTCTGCGACAAATACACAAATAAAACGTGGTTTTCACATAGCAAGAAAAATATTAACCTTGACCGAAAACCTAGAATTTGCCCGAATTTTGCGCTAACGATCGAAACGAGATTTGTGAGATTCTATTTGTGGTTTCTTCCTCAGGTTTAAAGATCTAAACGTTATCCACTTAAAATGCTAAAATGCTGTTTGTCTGTCTTTCAAAGGTTTAACGAAAAACTGTTGTTTGGTGTCCACGTAAGACGATAGTCACTTCCACGTATTCGCAAGCTGCGTTCGTTGCTATTTTCTTACTGAAAATATTTGAGTCGTATTTACATATAATATTTGATTCTTGTAGGTATAACTTTGATATCTGATCCCGACTTCTTGCGCTACATTTGGGTGGACAGAGAGCTGTCAGCAATGCGTAGTCCACTGTTGCCACGAAAGCAACTCAATTCTCTCCACTCCCAGACACCTGTTGGTCTCGAAGTGCTCTACACTAGGGGTGTCGCGAACCGGCCGAGGTTCGAGTTCGACCTGGTTCGACTTTTTCGAACTTTTCGTGGAAATTTCGACGAACCTTGTATTGAGGTTCGACTCGTGTGCGCATGCGCGACAGGCTGGCCAGTTGGCTTCGGATTGGATGGTAATGGCTAATGGATGAATTAAGGGCACCGCTGGTTGGTTATTTCAGTTAATACAGTACAAACAAAATTAAGTTATTAATGTCTTTAGTGATTAGAAGTGGTTTCTTTTAATTCCAACTGTTCATAAAATCAAATAACCATTTGCATAAAAATAAATTCTCCAAACCTAGACATGTGTCGATCAAGGTCTGGCCACACTGTCCGCAAAGTCGAACCGGTCGAATCTGGTAAAAAGTTTCGAAGCTTCGTCGAACCGGTTTGACTTAGTCGAACCCCGAAAGTTCGACCTAAAAATCCGGTTCGACAAAAGTTCGCGACACCCCTACTCTACACTATTATCTTCCTTACAGAAGCGAACGGAGACGAGCAAATGTATAGCCAAAAGATGTCTCGACCTTCCTTCGCCCTTTTCCTTACTTTCTGTAGTTTGCTATTTCGGCTTGGCGCCACCATATATGGCACGCTTAGGGCATATCGAGTCTGCATTCTCAGTAGCCTTGTGGGCGTCGCCTTCATGTGAAACAGTGCAGAGCAGGCGAAATGGGCAATATGCCTAAACGCGGAGCACCTCGCGGCTAAGGTGCACTCTGGAAGCAGGAGACTGTCAACGCAAAGTTAAGGTTTCGGTATCGCCGGGTTGTGAGTCTGCCGTCTGCTATCGTCTCCGCACCGCCATTTCTCACGTCGTCTCGGACTGCTCCACACTTATGTGCAATACAGTAAGCACCCTTTTCTTCTCGTCGCTACATAACAGATACAGCGAATAACGAAACTCTACGATTTTGCTGGCACGGGGAGCGAGCAGGAACGCCGCAACAAAAAAAGTCAAGTGAACGCAAATCGACGTACGCCGAGCGCGGTACCAGCTCACTGCTTGCATTGGTTTGCAACCTCAATAACTGCCACTTCGGCTAGTACCAAATACCATGTAAGCCAATACTGGCAAGTCCCGCGGAGCGCGGGCGAAAGTGATCGCAGCGCACCTGTCGAGCTCGGAGTCTCCACTAGCAGACGCATTCCACGCAAAACATTGGTTTTGCCTATCTCCGTGCGAGTTGACCAATGAAAAACAATTGTCACGGGCATTCACTGCTTTGAATGTTAAAAAAAAAAAGAAAAGATAGGTGCCACATCATGAGTGAAGGACGTTCTGTTTGCGTAGGAAAGATGTTACAGCTTTCCGAGTGCCATTTTCTGGCTCTCCCAAAGAAAACACTCTTTCAAAACGTACGTAAGCCAGGCAAAACACCAGTGTACGTTCTCCCCGTTTCTTGAAAAAGGGCAGTGTACAAAATTTTTCAGAAGATAGCTACGTTTCAACTTTACTGTTCTTATCAATCAATTCGTTTTGCTGTTTAAATTTCAATTTCTTATGAATGTATAGCTTTAAAACCGTTTCGTCCAATTGGCGAGCCGGCCAATCACCCTAAGAACGTCTCCGGTTGAAGAAGCAAAAGACAATTTCGAACCACGTATGTTACTATGATTCCAGTATGCTCTGGAGGAAGTTGATTTTACACACGCAAATTTGGCACTGTTACTGAAACTAATAAAAGCGTAGTAACAAAAAAACTAACTTATCGCGCGTGCAAAAAAAAAAAAAAAAAAAAAAAGAAGAGGAGATCGTTGTAGCGCTAATAAAATGATTTCGCTGGCGGTATATACGGTGCAGAAATTGCAATTGTCAGCAGCGGGACAACTGACGTCTTTCGCACCTTCTACGATAAAGGCCGGCACCCGTTGGACAGTCGTGCACTGCCTTCCATTTTTCAGAATCTACTTACGTCTTATGTTTGAGGCGAAGCTACGCCGCCACGTTCTTTATTCCTCGTGCTTTTATCTGTGTGCGTGCGGGCGGGCGGGCGTGCTTGCTTGCTTGCTTGCTTGTTTGCTTGTTTGTTTGTTTGCCTTTTTTTGTGTTTAGTTGTCGTTCGAACTATCGTGCATTTTGCCTTGCCATGTTTGGCTTAGTTTTTACTTTCTCTCCTTCCCTTCGTCACTTACTACCGTCGGTTCGTCTGCTACGCTATGCCCGGAAATCTGGAAAGCCGTCTGCAACATTTTGCTTTTTTTTTTTTTTTTCACTGCCTTCTGCAATAACCTCCTATTCTCGTCTTCGATTGAGTTTCTAATCGGCAATATTCATATATACCTTTCGATACTTAATAAATGTATTGAAAAGTGGAAGCACGTTATATTCGGATTTTAATTGAGTACGCGGTCACGTCTGACTTGGGTCATCGTTTGTTGATCAACTGGCCGCCTTTGGGCATACACCAGCGCATACTTGGAGATAGCAGGCATGCCATGTGCTGCATACCACTGCAAAAACAAGTTTTTGCGATGTGGCGGAAAGTGCTTCTTCCCCTTTCTGAAGACTGAACAAACGTGAGTAATTAAGTAACTTCAAAGTAAACTGGAAGTGCAAAATTAACACTCACGCCTCAACAGGCGATTATGACAACTCCACGGAGATGGCGGAAAACTTCACAGACGAAAGACCAGACGCACAACTCAACACTCAGTTTTATGTAGCCGGGTGGGCAGCCTGCTAAATATCTCATCATGCGTGCAAACTCCAGCTGCAACCAGAAGCATCCCAGGTAGCACGCCAGAGGAATGCCCAACTTGGGCAAAGGTCTGGCAAACATAAGGGCCCAACTTTGCCGCAGTTAGGTTTTTGCGCCATGGCACTCATCAGTGCCAAAGTACGGTGCCTAAGTATAGCCTTAGTTGGGCGATCCTAGGGCATGCCAAAGTTTGACTCTTCTCTGGTACGCCAGAGGAGTGCCAAAGTTGGTGCCATACTTGAGCCATAACTGCCATAGTAAATCCTAAACTGGGAATGCGGGGCATGCCAAGGTTTGGCGTTTCTCTGGTCCGCCAGAGGAGCGCAAAAGTTGGTGCCATACTTCAGCCGTAGCTGCCAGAGTAACGGCTAATTTCGGTATTTGGGACATGCCAAAGTTTGGCTTTTCTCGGGTACGCCAGAGGAGCGCCAAAGTTGGTGCCAGACTTGAGCCATAACTGCCATAGTAAATCCTAATCTGGGAATTCGGGGCATGCCAAGGTTTGGCGTTTCTCTGGTCCGCCAGAGGAGCGCCAAAGTTGGTGCCATACTTCAGCCATAACGGGCAGAGCAAGGCCTCATTTCGGCATTTGGGACGTGCCAAGGTTTGGCGTTTCTCTGGTCCGCCAGAGGAGCGCCAAAGTTGGTGCCATACTTCAGCCATAGCTGCCAGAGCAACGCCTAATTTCAGTATTTGGGACGTGCCAAGGTTTGACGTTTCTCTGGTCCGCCAGAGGAGCGCCAAAGTTGGTGCCATACTTCAGCCATAGCTGCCAGAGCAACGCCTAATTTCAGTATTTGGGACGTGCCAAGGTTTGGCGTTTCTCTGGTCCGCCAGAGGAGCGCCAAAGTTGGTACCATACTTCAGCCGTAGCTGCCAGAGCAACGCCTAATTTCGGTATTTGGGACGTGCCAAGGTTTGGCGTTTCTCTGGTCCGCCAGAGGAGCGCCAAAGTTGGTGCCATACTTCAGCCATAGCTGCCAGAGCAACGCCTAATTTCGGTATTTGGGACGTGCCAAGGTTTGGCGTTTCTCTGGTCCGCCAGAGGAGCGCCAAAGTTGGTGCCATACTTCAGCCATAGCTGCCAGAGCAACGCCTAATTTCGGTATTTGGGATGTGCCAAGGTTTGGCGTTTCTCTGGTCCGCCAGAGGAGCGCCAAAGTTGGTGCCATACTTCAGCCATAGCTGCCAGAGCAACGCCTAATTTCGATATTTGGGACGTGCCAAGGTTTGGCGTTTCTCTGGTCCGCCAGAGGAGCGCCAAAGTTGGTGCCATACTTGAGCCATAGCTGCCAGAGCATCGCCTAATTTCGGTATTTGGGACGTGCCAAGGTTTGGCGTTTCTCTGGTCCGCCAGAGGAGCGCCAAAGTTGGTGCCATACTTCAGCCATAGCTGCCAGAGCAACGCCTTATTTCGGTATTTGGGACGTGCCAAGGTTTGGCGTTTCTCTGGTCCGCCAGAGGAGCGCCAAAGTTGGTGCCATACTTCAGCCATAGCTGCCAGAGCAACGCCTAATTTCGGTATTTGGGACATGCCAAGGTTTGGCGTTTCTCTGGTCCACCAGGGGAGCGCCAAAGTTAGTGCCATAA